ACCGCCCCCCAGATATCTTTGTTTACAAAACCAAAAAAGTTTACATGTGGACAATGAAGTGGATTTGTGGGTTTCCTGACCTAAAGTAACATCACAAAATGGGAAAGAATTAAAAAGCAAGTATGAGTTGGGTGGCCGTTGGGTGCAGGAGGGGGATGCATCTTCAGAAGACGGAGCAATCAGCCCAATTGAGGGTGGGGATGAAGAGCTGGGTATGAACATAGAGCAACGTGGCAGCTAAATAGGAGGAGGAAGCTTGCTTCTTCTGTTTTCCCCTCCTAGGTTCAGGGTTCTAAACCTTGTACTGTATTTCTTGTGTGTTTTCCCTCCTTGCTATTCCTTCTTCTGAATTCCTGTGTTAGCCCCTCATCGCCTTATACCTGGACAATTACAACAGCTTTTACTTACTATCTGTGTTATTTTTTCCATTGCTGTGACAAAATACAAGAGAAAAATCATGTTAAGAGAGAAGCAGGAGGAGGAAGAGAACAAGAATGAAGAAGGAGGAGGGTGGGGGAGAGATTACACTGAACAAAAGCAGATAATCAATTTCTAAGACCACAGCCTGAACACAGTCCTAATTTTGGCAAAATTTGGTTGTCTGTTTCCCCCCTGCCCCTGCAATTATCTTAGGTAACCAATATTCTCCGCCAATAATGTTTTTTTTAACTTGACTGGACCAAAAGCGGAGCAGAATCAATCTGAAAGTTATTAAAAATATTTTCCAAAAAATGTTGGAAGAGATTATCCAGGCATTGTTAACACACAAAAAGTGCCTATTGGTACTGGTGAGCACTCATGTTCTCAAGTGCAAGGCTCCAATGCCAGAATGCTGAAAATCCCCCCCACTCAGGGTAAAAAACAAAACAAAACAAAAAACAAAACCAGTCTTGAAGCAAAACTGATACTGCTGTCAAGAAGCCTCCCTGGGAATCTCAGATTGACCAAGATGGCAGGCCACTGAAGCCTGACTTTGGTGGTCCAGGCTGACCTTCGGGACCCTCCTGTTTCTCTACGTGGTCATCTCACTTGAGAAACAACTTCAGGGTCTCAACAGAGGCTCCAGGCGGAGGCAGCTGAAATCAGTCTTTGCCAAAGAATGGCCTCTGAGTAAGAGCAGCGTCACTGGGTTCCCGAAATGCAGACTCTCAGGAAGCCCTAGAATGTGTCACTTCCTAAGTCCAGTGGTTGTCTGTGCTAACCCTTAAATGTGGGAAATGATCGATTTAAGTCTCTGGTTTCAAGAACCACTCTCTGGGTTATAAAGACTCTTTTTTAGCAAGAGCTTATCCTCACCTGACCTCCTCGAAGGAGAAGCAATGCAACCAATGCAAGTAGCAGCACCCAGAACCAGGATTGATATGATCAGGACAAAACCTAGCTGTCCCAAGCTTTGGGAATTTCCCTGATTTTTGTTGACTGGGATTCCACCACATATACTTCCCTCCTCCTCCTGGTCCTGGGGTGTAGGCACTGTCCCTGAGCTTTTTATTTGCTCAAGGTTAGCATGCTTCCATAGCTCCGCTTCCAGCATTTTGATAGTTAATTGGACATACAGGTCTCAACGTCTTTCCTGCCCAGGCTGGCTTCAAACCATGACCCTAAGATCTCAGCCTCATGAGTAGCTAGGATTACGGGAAGAGCCATGGTGCTCAGCTAGAGTTTTAATACAGACATCACATATCTGTATTAGGCAATTACCTAGAAACACTTAGATTCAAAAGAGACTTTGGGTTTTCATCCTAGTTTTGGCAAGCTATGGAACTTCTGAGTCTCAGATTTCTTGTCTTTCAAGTGGAGATGCCACACCAGCCTTTTGGGGATATTATAAACCCTGAGCAGAAATATGTATACTCAGCAAACAACAGAATAAGCTATTGCCATTATTGCCATCATCATCATCATCATCATCATCATCATCATCATCATCATCACCACCTTTCCTTTGGACAAGGGGCTTGATGGTTTTGGTGAATGAAGTTTCATGTTTTTCTTCCTATAGAATCCTACTCATTCTTAATTATCACTTGCAATGTCACTTTCCCAACAGGCCTAGCAGAAGCCTCTTACCCTTGCTAGCTTTTCAGTTACTTAGGGTCTAGACCTATGATTTTCAAGGCTGGCTTCCTCTTCCCACTGTACAAAGACAGAAGAGAGAGAGACAGACAGAGACAGAGAGAGAGAGAGAGAGAGAGAGAGAGAGAGAGATCTTGTAACCTATTTACCCTAGCCAAGGTATAGAATCAACCCAGATGCCCCTCAATGGACAAATGGACCAAGAAAATGTGGTATATATACACAATGGAATTCTATGACATTGCCCCATTCATAAGGAAATGAAAAGACCTGTAGAAAATTATATTAAGTAAAGTAAGCCAGATCCAAAGAAACATCTGCTGCAGGGTTTCCCTCATTTGCTGACTCCATTATTAAAAACGACCTAGACTCAGGCTCCACGGGGTCGCTCACATTCCGGGTGCCTCTAAGATGAGAGATACTCTTGTCACCACCCAACAGGTCCACACACAGGCAGATAAGCTTCTTGTGGCGGTGATTAAAGTCACTATACAAAAAGAAAAGAAAAACAGAAAAACCCCAGAATGGAGGAAGAACTCAGCACCATTTTCCTGTAGCTGTTCCCATTGTACCCCGGGCCAGGCTGCTTAGCTGTTGGCGTACCCCCATCTTTGCAGGAAGGAGGGTTGGGCCTCAAGCCAGTCCTCTTTGTTATCTCTCTGTTGGCTGGTTTTCTATTGGCAGTTTTGTTTGTTTTGTTTTGTCGACCGTGGGGCTTGAACTCTGGGCCTGGGCGCTGTCCCTGCACTCTTCAGCTCAAGGCAGGCAATCTACTGCTTGAGCCACAGCGCCACTTCTAGTTTTCTGGTGGTTTATTGGAAATAAGAGTTTCATGGACTTTTCTGCCCGGGCTGGCTTTGAACTGTGATTCTCAGATCTCAGCCTCCTGAGCAGCTAGGATTACAGGCCGTGAGCCACCGACACCCAGCTACATTGGCAGTTTTGACTCCGTTCACTTTAGGTTTTAGGTTCTTCCTCTGTAAAAAGCATCACAGGGAATGATCTGAAACAAATCCTCCCAACTTTTTACCCACCTTGGACAGAAAACGATCCATCTAGCTTTCCTCCCAAGTAGCTGGGACCATAGACATAACACCACACACCAGCTTGTTTTTGAGACAGAGTCTCTCTCTGCCTTTGCCTGGGCTAGCCTTGAAAGCTAAGGCATCTCACACAGCTTGCCCCACCCTCTTCTCCCTTTCTCTTTCCCCTTTACTCTTCTCCTTTTCTCCCTATCATTCTTACTCCTTCTCTCTCTTCCCTTTCTTTAATCTCTTCCCCTTTCCTCTTTTTCTTCCTCTCCCCTTTCCCATTTTTCCCTCCTCCTTCCCTCCCTTCAAGTCTCTTCTCCCTTTTAGACAGGGTCTTGTTATGTAGCCTCAAATTCCAGGTTGATCTAGACTTACTAAGACCCTCCTGCCTCAGCCTCCTAGTTGCTGGGATTATAGGCATGGACCGCTGGGTACTGTCCCTGAGCTTTTGTTGCTTAAGACTGCTGCTCTACCACTTGAGCTACAGCTCCACTTTTGGCTTTCTTTTACTTTTGGTGGTTAATTGGAGATAAGAGTCTCAGGAACTTTTTCTACCTGAGCTGGATTTGAACCAAGATTCTGAGATCTCAGCCTTCTGAATAGCTAGGATTACAGGCATGAGCCACCAGTGCCTAGCTCTCCATTCTTTGATTTTTATAGGTAAACAATCTTCTCTATAACACTGAGAAAGAGTCTGATGGTAAATAGTCTAAAATTAATAAGAAACACCTGAGTACTAGCCAACCCACACTCACTTTCTTAAAATATACTCTGACTCCCCAAACAAGCAGGCACAAACAGTGGTTTGGAACCCCTCTAATAATATCCTGTATCAGAATTCAGTGAGATCTGAAGCTAGAGCATGCTGAGTTTCTGGTTGTCTCCATTTATTCAGGGGTAAGAGATAGGCCCACAGTAACTTTGATTAAGCCTGTGGTCCCAGCTGTGACTGTATTACAGTCACCTGGGCCTGTTCCAGGTCAATGGAGTCAGAATCTTGGGGACTGGGGTCCTGACACAAATATTAGATAAAAATCAAGATGTGTGTGGCCCAAGCTGAGAGTTTTCAACTAAACTGACAAATACAGTGGAACTAAGGCAAGGGAGGGCTTTCTTCCGGCCCTTGCAAGGCCTAGTGGACTTTTATTCTCCTTACAATTAAACCTTTCAGACTCATGGAGTATTTTATTTATTTTTTTTTTTTTTTTTTTTTTTTTTTTTTTTAATCTTTATGTTCCTTTATTGGAGCAAGATTCCTGACCAGTATACAATGATGTATTTACTAAACAGAGACCTGTGCAGAAATTACATACTAATCCATCTAGACAGGTTTTGGTTACACTTTTGCCTATGGATGGAATAGTTCCATTTGTAAGATTTTATACATCACAAAGCTTCCACGCTGTCCATGAATTCACCTCTGAGAAAGTGGCGTTTAATTTCAGCTCTATTTTACAGCATTAAAAAGCTTATGCATTTGGCAGCTTCTCTGTGATGCACAGGGCAGTTCTTCCACCCAGATCCAGTCACATTTGAACCTTAGGTTAGAGACCTGGGACTTTAGACCAATAGACACTCAAAAAGGCCCATTTTCTTAAAAAGGCCAAGAAGATAAAAATCAAGGGTAGAGTCAGAACTCTCAATTTTGAGGGTCTAGTTGTCTCAAACGACATGATTAACGACAGCAATGGTTCCCAGTTATGGAGACATTAAGACATTAATTCAAATCCCTTTATTCTCGATCCATACAGCCCTGAGGTCATCCTGCAAAGTGCGTATCAAAAAATACGAAGTCAGGGGACAGTTTGACAGTGACGTTATTATACAAGTCAAACTCGGAAGGTCAGATCAACTATGTCCATTCTGAGAGAAAAGCATCAAACCCTTTGTGTACACATTTAGTTTTATTGTAACAAAGCAACTTGTACACTTTTAACGTTTAAAACTCAGCATCATCTTTCCTTTCCAGTGAAAACAAAAGAAAATTTAAAAATAAATGAACAAAATTACAATAGAGAATGTCAATTCCAAATAAGATCCTACAGGGTCTGCTGATTCTCCTGTAGTGCCAGGGCTCAAGTCATCATTAGGAGAATTTTATTTTAAAAGTGTCATCTTAAACTGCAAGGATGTCCGTTAAACATCACAATTACACATGCCAAAGGAGAAGCCATGTTGTCAAAATGCCCACTTAACCCACCCAAACATCTCAAACCCACCCTTTGCTGACCTTCTAGAACCCCATTTTTTTAAGTTTTTTCTTTTTTTTTAAACAAGAGAAAGTAGACAGATACATGTTGGTAATGCTAACTGTCCGTATTCACATAGACACAGTGTAATCTCTGAGCCCAATATACAGAGAAAGGAGGAGAAAAGCTAGAATCTATGCACTACTACACAGGGCCTGGTGCCTCCAGCAGAGCAGAGCAACCGGAGGCTTTTCTTGTTTCCCACAGAGCAGGTGGCGGTGGTGGTGGTGTTGATTCCGTACAGTTTTTGTTGAGACAGAAAGGGATAAAAATGAATTTAGAACAGAGGTGTGTAGAGATTCTTTTCCCGTTGTATTCTGAGCAAGGTATTCCCCCCCAAATAAGTTGAGAACCATGGTGTTTTGAGAAAAGAGACCTCAAGAACAGGGCAACTGAGCACAGAGGGGAGAAGACTGCAACTTGCTCCCAGGGACTGGAGAAAATTAAGGAAAAAAAAAAAAAGTTGGAATCCATCAGTGTTTTCTATTAGTCATCTTCTCCTTCATCCTCCTCTCCTTCTTCCCCTTCATCATCATCTTCGTCTTCTTCCCCCTCGTCCTCATCCCCTTCTTCATCAATGTCTTCCAATCCTTCCTCCTCTTCATCATCATCATCATCCTCTTCTCCTTCTCCCTCCTCATCATCCATGTCAGGAACCAGGTAGTACTGCAATGGGTTTGGCCAGATGTCGTCTTTGATGACCTCTCCCAACTCGTCTGCACCAGCGTCTGAGTGGTCAGCGAACCAAGTGAAGAAGCTCTCTGGTTCCTCATGCTGCCGCTTCCTGCTGGCTTTATTCTGCGTTTGACTGGAGCGCTTTGTCAAATCCTTTCCAGACTTCCATTTGATTTCAGTGGACTTTGAAGATGGATCACCGCTCTCATTCAGATGAAATTCTTTGGAGAGAACTTTATTTTCAAAGTAAGGATTTTCATCAAAATAAAAATCTATTCTGTAACCTGATTTTATATCTTCAAATTCTGTCACTTCAACTCTGGTCAGGTAATGCAGGGCCTCTTCATCCTCCTCCCCCAGCAGTGCAGACACTTGTGGATGGTTGACAAATGTTGTTACCCAAAAATTTGGGATTTTGGCGATCAATTCTGACCTCTTCTGAAAAAACGGTTGGCGGAGTTTGTTATATTTCTGTTCTACTTTCAAGATCTTCATGGAGTATTTTAGAAAAATAAATTTCCTCTTTCCTTCTTTAATGCTGCCTTGATATTTCTGTAGATTTTTTTGTTGTTGTTGTTGGTCGTGGGGCTTGAACTCTGGGTCTGGGCACTGTTAGTAGATTTTTTTTTTTTTTTAAAAAAAGACATATGACTGTCATCAGTAAAGCCAAAGCACTATACAAATGGTGTTCTGATTTATTACACATCTGACTTATAATTTGTGTTTTTTGCCAAGCACCAGTGACCCATGCCTGTAATCCTAGCTACTCAAGAGGGTGAGATCTGAGGATCAAGTTTTGAAACCAGCCCATGAAACCCTTATCTCCAAATACCTAGCAAAAAGCTAGAACGGAAGGTGTGGTTTAAGTGGTAGAGTGCCAGCCTTGAGCAGAAAAAGCCAAGCAAGAGCTGAAGGTCCTGAATTCAAACCCCAATACCATAAAAAAAAACACCACTTTTTTATTTGGTGCTGACATTGGGGACTTGAACTCAATGCCTTGTACTTGTTAGACAGAAACTCTACCACTTGAGCTATACCTACAACCCTTTTACATTTGTTTCTTTTCAAATAGGGCCAATGTCTGCCCTGGCTGGCTTGGAACTGTGAGGCTTCCATTCTTAGCTTCCCAAGTCACTAGGATCACAGGCCCAAACCACCACATTCAGCGATTGATTGAGGTGAGGTCTTGTGTTTATAACTTGGGCAGGCCTCATATTGCAATCCTCAGGATCTCTGCCTCTTCAGAAGCTATACCACCAAGATCTCTATATATACATATCCATATATATTTGTGTGTGTGTGTGTGTGTGTGTGTGTGTGTGTGTGTGTGTGTGTGTGTGTGTATATATCTAGAAATTGAGCAATGAGACAGAACTCTGCCTTCAAGACCTTATAGGAAATGACTTTGTGATTTAGCTTTTAAATTTTTGCAGCTGGATAGTTAGTGCAGCTTTGTAGGAACACATGAATAGTCAGTAGAGAAGTTTCTTTTTGTTTTGCGTTGAAATGACTTAGTGTGTTGCAAATCAATATAAAGTAACCGAGTACTCCAAAGTGGGTACAAGCAGCTTGGATGGGTGGTACTTGTGGAGATTAGCAGGGCATGTGAGGACCCCAACTACTTTGTCCCTTTGTGTGACAAGGAGAGGTGACACCTTGCAAGACCCAGGGCTCTGCCTGATGTTGTGACAGTGGCTGGGTGGGGAGAATGCCATAGCTTGCTCCAGGGAAATTGAGAATTTAGTTAAGAATAATCATTAGGCTGGGCGTGGTGGTTTATGTCTGCAATTCCAACTACTCCAGAGGTGGAGATTGGGAGGATCACAGTTTGAAGCCATCCCAGGCCAAAAAAAAGTATTTAAAAAGTTAATAAGACCCCATCTCAATCAATGTGTCTGGGAGAAATGGCTAGTATCTGTCCACTCAGCTGCAGGGAAGGTGTAGGTTGGAGGATTGCTGTTTCAGATTGCCCTGAGCAAAAACATGAGACCCTACCTGAAAAATAATTAAAGCCATAAAAAGGGAGGGGGCTGGAAGGGACTCAAGTGAGTACCTGCTTAACAGGCACAAAGCCCCAAGTCAAAGCTCTAGAACCACCAGTAACATAATAATTAAGCACTCTGTGTGTTTGCTGATTGTGTTAGTAGTTCTCTCCTTATGGATTTTGTCACAGAATTTAAATAGATGGCATATGCCTGGGATTGCAAAAAAGCAAAGAGAAACTCTACCTTCAAAAAGTACCTGCTGATGGCTCATGACTGTAATCCTAGCTACTCAGGAGGCTGAGATCTGATGATTGCAGTTCAAAGCTCGCCCAGGCAAGAAAGTCCCTGAGACTCTTATCTCCAATTACCCACCAGAAAACCAAGTGGAGCTATGGCTCAAAGTGGTAGAGTGCTAGCTTTGAGCAAAAGAGCTCAGGGACAGTGCCCAGGTCCTGAGTTCAAGCCCTATGACTACCAAAAAAAAGTGCCTTCTAATTGTTTGGGGGGTTTGCAACCTCATCAGAAATAGAAAATACTGAATCAATATTTGGGTAGTTTCTGTCTCTTCATTTTCCCATCCAAGGGACACTGGTCTCCATCTTTCTGTTACCTCCACACAAGTATCTGTCCTCTCCTTGTGCCTCTAGTTAGCTGCTCTCCTACTCTGAGAAGCAGTAATAAAGGAAGGAAGCCTTTCCTTGAACCAAAATTGAAAAACAACAACAAAAACCCAACCAAAACCACAAGCAAATTGCTATTCTCAACTGCTGTTCAGCAAGTGATTTAGGCTGTGTCAGACTCCAAAAGAGCTGTGTCAATTGAAAGTGCCTATTTTTTTTGTGTAATTTTAAAATACAGATCACAGTGTGCAAAATGTGCAAAATGTACAGAACTGTGTGGCATAGGGGAGGCCTACCTGCACACTGGAAAGCAAGCCTGCAGGCAGTGGCTTGCTGCCCTAACCCTGAGCACTGGTGTGTGTGTGTGTGTGTGTGTGTGTGTGTGTGTGTGTGCATGCGCATGCGTGTGCATGTGTGTGTGCGTGCATGTGTGTTGCATGTGCTTCTCTTAAATTGGAGAAAATTGAAGCAGAATTTGACCAGAAGCAATAGAACTGCAAGCATGAAAGACCAGGAAGGGGCAAGGAATACATCTTTCCTACTGCTTTCCTGCCAGTGAAAAATATAAGGCAGTCTGTGTTCAGAATACATCTTGTACAAATGAAGCTCTTCAACACCTAGAGTGGCTGCAGATGGAGTTGGGAAGAAATTAGAACTATAGAACAAAGCAATTAGAATAATAAAAATGTAGAACTATTAAGGACCTGTGTAATTTTCATTCAGTCTGTTTGTTTCCTACATGCACAGTAGGGCTCAGAGTGATTTGTTTAGGGTCATGTAGCTAGTGGGCAGATGAATTACTCATCCATACTGTCTTGTGATTTTTCAGCACTTACTACCTCCTAGGAACACAGGCTTCACAGAAAATCAGGTTCATGGGAGCATTTGTCCCCTTTCATTCCAATTACTCAATAATTTCTATGACTGGAGATTCTTTGGCTGGAACACCCTGTAACATATAGAGTGTATTTTGTATGCACCCTCCTTTCAGACTTTTTGTATTAAAGGTTTGTTTATATCATGCTGATGCACCCAGTTCTAAAGCTAAGGGGAAAATAAATAAGAGCAAATTACTCAGAGCTTGGAATCCTAGCTACTCAGGAGTCTGAGATTCAAGGATCCTGGTTCAAAACCAGACCATACAAGGACAGCTGTGTGATTCTTATCACCTATTGACCACTAACAAGCCAGAAGTAGAACTGTGGTTCGAGTGGTAGAGTCCCAGCCTTGATCCAAAAAGCTCAGGGACAGTGCCCAGGCCCTGAGTTCAAGCCCCAGTACTGGCACACACACAAAAAATTAAACTGGAAGCCAGCTACAATTCTGATAAAGCCTATAAAGAAAGCTACCATGTCGTGATCATTGTCTTTAGGATCTTTTGGGAAGCCATACAGTGTGTGAAGACTCATTATCTTTTCTGGCACTTTGGGACCATTTTCAGGCCATGAATACTATATCTATTGCCTTAATTATGTGCATATATTTACTGCTCAATTATGTGCATATATTTACGTCTTTTATTGCTGTAGCTCAGTTACTTTGTTTTGCTCATGCCCCTAGGAGAGCCCTTTATGCCTAGTTACTGCTCCATAAGTATCACTGAATGAATGCACATTAACAAAGCATGGGTGTGATTAATTTTGTTCACATTCTATTCCTCATGAATTATATCATCTAGCTGGGTGAACACAAAGTTACCCCATGTAGAATCAAAGCACCATGTAAGTGATTAGAATAATAGCATTACAACATTTTAGAGCCATAAAGGATCTAAGAGTTAATTTAATCTATTTATTTTACACAGGAACAATTATGGCTCAGAGAGATCCAGTGATTTGCCCAAGGTCCAGAACCTAGTGACAGACAAATCAGCCTTCCAGTGTACTGATACCATTGCTTATACATTGATTAGCCACCAAAGCTGTTGCCTATTGGTTTGGCTACCCAGTGTACATTTCAATTTCATCCAATTTTCTGCCCTTGGTTTTTCCTTGGAGAAGATATCTAGTTGGTTTTTCAATTGATCTGATTTGGGCCTGATTCAATTTGGGCCTGATTAATCTCTTCATTTTCTCTATCTACTTGCTGAAATGTTCTCATGCCGTCTTCAAGAAAACTGACCCCAGCAGGTGGTTGTGCCCATGTCAGAGAGATGGGATGGGTGTGGGTAGATGCTTACATTCCTGGATACCAGCCAGACCATCTATCAAAGCAGAATTCTGCAGCAGCCAAGCCCAGGAAGTGTAACAAGAACCCCTGTTGCAATTGGCCCAAATGGCCAAGACTTGATCAATGACTGACAGCTGCTCTTATTCTTGCCCTCGGTTCCCACTTAGAACAAAGTGGAGAAAGCCAGATATGCTCCCCTAACCCACAGTCTGGGAGGGCTTGATTCTCTTTGTCTACCTGCAGTGTTGCCTGGCCAACAGCCTCCACTCAGAGATCTGACTTTGCCCTTTTGTCCTCTCTCAAGCTTCTCCACCCTTCTGCCTGCCTTTGAATCTCTGCCAAATGCAAGTGACAGTGGCTGACTCCCCTTAGAACAAGCTCAAAAGAAAAGCTTTTAATTTCTTGTTTGAGTGGGCTGCATCTATTTTCATGGGGGAGGAGAGGGAGACTCAAGAAGGATTCCAATTGAACCTACTTCAGTGTTCTCTCTGGTTGTGGTCATACAGACTGCCCTACATCTGCACAATAAGACTACTGAGACTCATTTGTCTCTTCCTTTTTTGTTGTTTTTATGGTCAGTCATGGGTCTTGAACTCAGGGCCTTGGCACTGTGCCTGAGCTCTTTTTGCTCAAGGCTAGCGTTCTACCTCTTTGAACTACAGCCCTACCTCCAGTTTTCTTGTGGTTAATTGAAAAAGAGTCTCATAAACTTTCCTGCCGG